TTTCAGAAGTATATACAAGTAGATTTAGAGCTGTGGTCCCAATAGCATAATAGTAAGCGCTTTGGATTTTCATGCTGGCGACCCCGGGTTCAATCCCCTTTGTTTCCATTAAAAGTTTTATCACTTTTTCAGCTCGATTTTGGGTTTTTTTTTCAGAATCGGACGGAAGACCTCTCGTTGCTCGCAACGAGTTTCTTTTCTAGTTATTATTATTATTTTTCTTCTTCTTCCTGGGTACTTTTTTGTCCGGGAATGATCTCGTAAACTATACATCCGAATAAGGTGAAATGTTTTTAGGGTCAGTAGACATGTTATGTAGATTTGCGGAACGAAGGTCATTTTGCGCGCACGTGCTTGCAAGAGCGTGCACGTGCAACATGTGTAATGACCGATTTAATTGATATAGGCGTAACTTTTTAATTTTTTAATGAAATGCTTTGAAACTTATAATATAAGGATATATTGGTAGCATAGACAATATGACATGGTCAAAATAGCAAGATCTCACGCGCATGCACGTGCGCTTTGCTCTGATTGGCTGAAACTAAAGTCTCAATATCTTTCTTGTTTTTTGACGAAATCCTTTGAAATTTTGAAAATAGCCATGCATTAGGATATCCTACAACATGATATATAGCAATTATCATGAAAACACGTGCATGCACGTGCGCTGCAATCTGATTGGCTTAAACTTTAAATAGCTATAACTCCCTTGATTTTCAACCAAACAGGATGGGATTTGGAACATAGATAGATATACTGGACTACTACAAGAAAATATGGTCACCATGCACATGCATACACGTGCATGTACGTGCACTGCAATCTGATTGGCTGAAACTTTAAACAGCTATAACTCCCTTGGTTTTCAACCAAACGGGGTGGGATTTAGAACATAGATAGATGTAACGGACATCTACAAGAAGGTATGGTCACCATGCTCATGTATGCACGTGCGTGCACGTGAAATGAGCAAAATCAAAAAAACAATTGAATGAGAGTATCTTTTTAATTCTTTTGTATTAAATACTTTAATATTAAGTATATTAAAATATATAGATTGTGTAGACAAGATGATATGGTCATTACGCACATGCATTTACATGCGCACGCGTGCAATGCTAAAATTGATGAACTTTGTACACTTCTGGGTAAACGTTTTTAAGTCTCAAATGCATCGAGTTTGTCTTATTTAATGAAGCTTCCAGGGAATATGGCACCAAAAAGGAGTTGGGGAGCGTTTGGGGAACATCTGTAACGGTCCCCGTTACAATTAGCACTAGTTCATATTGAGCTTGGTTGATAGACTACCATTAAGTAAAACGTTCTAGTAAAAATTCCAAACATAAAACATCTAGATGTACTAATGTGTCAGACTCTGTAAAATCTTTTATTTAAAGCTCTTCGGGATATACAGTCATATATCGTATCGGCAAAAGAATTGAAATAAACATTGGTAATTGAAAATACATCATCGGTTATCTTAATTTCGAGTTGAAGGTCACAGTAAGTGTTTTATTTATTTATAGTATTTTGAAAAAAATCTGCTTCACATGAATACAAAAATAGGTCATCTCATAACAAGCCGCAATTTGTACACTCATTTTAGTAACATTGAGAAAGTAGACGTACGCAAACATAAATATATTATGATGTACATTTATTGCTTACAATCGATACATTTTACAAGTATTTAACGAAATGTAATATAATAAGGAAGAGAAAATTACATATACTCAGTTTTTACTATCAAATTTCTTTGCTGATTATTTTAGTTCCTTAAGATGCTTTAAAAATATACAAATACAAGTAACTGTCACTCCGATCCAACACCTTGAAGGTTTTTAAAATCTTAAGTTGCGAAGCTAAAATCTTGAATTATTCATAGGACGTAAAACTTTATAAAATGGAAAATAAAAGCCTAAAATATATAATTTTCAAAGTTTGAAACTATGAAGGATCAGTTATTTCAACAAATCAAGAAATATAATTGAATTCTCGTGTTTCATTGTATAATATTCTGTAATATTTTTTAAAACCCAGGTGTACTTAAAAGTAAATCTAATTTAAAAAGAATAAAAACAAGCTAATTCAGAGAATTCGTGTCCCCCGCTTAGGGAAAAAGTCGGATCCCCCTGACTGAATTTGTAGAATTATTAAATGTATACATGTATACTGAAGCAAATGAAATACATGTATGTCAATATGCATGTAAAGATTTGATTGCTTATTCTTTATTATGTGTATAGAAGATTCTTTTTATATGGAATATTTATCACACTGTAATGATGATTTTATAACCTCATAAATTTTTCATTTCACATGCTGAATACTATCATTTATTAAAAAAAAAAAGAAAAGTATTTAAAAAAAAAGGATTGTCCGAGATTCGATCCCGGGACTACTCACATATGAAGCGAGAGACATACCACTAGACCACGGAATCACTTTATATGAAGTGAAGTATATGCAGAACTAAAGTCACATACATGAAATTGTATATATTCATGTTCGGTATTCTAAAATTTTACACAATCCATGGAGTTTGATTTATTTAGCCTTTATTTAACAGTTCTAATAGATGTAATAAGAACATAAAGTCTGCCGAGAACCTGTTTTATACGCAATAACTCTCCTCATGCCCCTGTGCTAAAAATAGCGACATGTAATACTATGAATATTAATAAAACAAACGGGGCGGGCACTTGGAGAGGGGTGAGAGAGGTCCTAGGGAGTTTTGGTATAAAATTACATTGCATAAGCTCAAAATCTTCTTGAAATATCGCCCGGAAATGATAGTGTTACACACAGACAAAATGTATAAATTTACGACCTTGAACTTTGACCTTTTGACATCAAAATCTATAAGGGTCTTTATTAGGCCACAGGGAGTTGTTATGTAAAATTTCATTGCAATAGCTCAAATGGTTCTAGAGATATCGTGTGGAAACGAAAGTGTTATAACAGACAGAATTTGCTTATTTATGACCTTGACCTTTGATCTTTTGACATCAGTATCAATAGGGGTCTTTTTTAGTCCATAGCAAGTTGGTATGCTTAATTTCATTGCAAAAGCTCAAAGGGTTCTCGAAATATCGTGTGGAAACGAAAGCGTTACAGACAGACAGAAAGACGGACGGACGGACAAACCCAAATTAATATCCCCCACTTTTCAAGCGGGGGACAAAAAATACTTCATTATTAATTTCATTTTGAAATTGTTGAATTTTAATAAAATGAATTATGAATATCAAATTTGTCTAATTCCAACAAATTATCACGAAATAGATTATCTTGGTATTTCTTTTGTATTTTGTTAATCTATCAACTGCTTGTTATATTTTAGGTTATTTTGAAGAAGTAAATTATACATGTACGTAATGACACCGGTTCTGAATCAGTTGTTTTGGAAGAAGGATATGGAGGTAACGAACAGTATTCAATCTCAAAGTCCATAAAACAATACAAAACAAGAGCAGATCGAACACGGACCCCCGAAACATCAGAAGTGGGATCAGGTGCCATTTTATGTAGGCCTTCATTTTTCTTTTGGTTACAGGCATTTCTGCGCACGTCAAAAGTCATATTACTAGATTGATATTTACAAGTATGTCTTTTTCTTGTAAAGTATCTGGGTTAAAAAACAGATGTGAAAAATTTTTTGATAACTTTTATTTCACGATCACTGGAATTTATCGAATCGACATGTGAATTATAGTTTTTATTGTTAATTGAAAAAAGTAAAAGTTTGATTTTTCTCTTTACAAAAACAATACTATTCCATTCAATTTTATTACTACATAAATAATTAGGGAGCACGCTCATAGCTTTTCAAATCTATTTTCAAATTCTATAGCTCGCTCCCGGAGGCCGGGAGTTCGAATCACGGCTGCGACTGACCTAAGTCGATAAAAAATGAGTAGCAACTGTTCCTTCGCCATGCGCTCGGCACTTAGAAGTGAAAGTTGCAGGTCCTTCGTATGAGACCTTAAAAACCGAGGCACGACAGGCGTTGGCCCGATAAAGATTCCTCACTGCTCGATGGCCCTGAGTGCCGAGTATGGGTAAAAATTTGACGCCCTTCACAGGTGTATGGTGACGTCTGTACTTGAGTGAAATATTCTCGAATGGGACGTAAAACAACATACAATCAATCAGCCGATCAATCAAATTATATAAGAAATATTAAAAAATATCAATTTTCATGCTTAAACGATCAATCAAACATATAAATTTTGAACTAAGCAGATACTGACTTGTGAAATCACAAATTGTATCCGGTGTCAATTCCCCAGTCCTCTTTCCGGTTTCACGATATTTTAACTATTTACTAGCATACAATGCCTCTAGAAGAGATCAAAATTTTGCTTTCAAAATCATATCATCATGCATAATTTCCATTAAGTGCTATGAAATATTAAAATAACGACAAGTGAAAAACCCTTTGAAACTATATATAATAGGAGTAAAGAAAACATGGGAATGGGATCAGGATGTCATGTAGGCCTAAACATCCCTAGTCCTCTGGTCAGAACAGCCTTGTGCTCCTTGTCACGATCGGGTAAACGTAAAAACTAATAAACAGTGCAGAGTAAAAATAAAGCCTTGCTATTTCTATGAAAAATATCAGTCAACATTCAGTTGCTCAATGTGTTGTTGTTTTTTTTTCTGAGAAAGTCATCGTAAAGAAAATCAAGTTCAGTGTTAAAGTTAAATGTTAACATTTAGAAGATTGTTGGTATCCTTAAAAAGACTAAATTGCCATTAAGGATTACAAAAATTTGTTTTTTGGATATCAAATTTTTAATAGTCTCTAACATAAGATTGATCAGAAAAAAGACCAGCTATTCAATTTCGGAGGAAAGGGTAACCAGAAAAAAAGTAAGCAATTCAATGCGAAAATAAGCTTTAACAATTTGTATGAAAAAAGTCAGTCAACATTCAAATTACCGATGGGTACTTTTTCCGAAGTTCAACAATTTAAAGAACATTATTATCATACAAAGAAGGAAATATTAAAACAATTTATGGGGAGGTGCATTTTCGTTAGCTTGTCCACTGTTCATATATGCATGTGCGATATAAAAGAAGTCACAATGATTTCGTTCCGCAATGAACTGAAATAGCTAATTAAATCTCTTTAATATTACAATCTAAATATAACATATTCTTCGAGAGTTGTTCTGTTTTCATCACAGTAAACACTTGGGCGATTAACGAAATTGATGTTGTGACACTCATCAACATGCAAGAAACATTCTAAGCTTTTCCTGAGTCCTTTTTGATTTTCAAATTTAATGTGTCATAAGGTCCAAAGTCTTCAGATTGACTGTATTCGATATTTGTGTCATAATTGTTTTGTAAGCGCAACCCTGGGTTATTTTCTCGTGTTAAACAGCTCGCTGGTTTACTCATCTGTATCTCTGGAGAGGATTTTTCTGAAAAAAAAAAAAAAACATAATTATGCATGTGCAAGTGCTTCAAATTTTTTTGAATATTTAATATAATTATATACATAAAATCATTGAACTAACAAGAAATTGCGATACAATGTAAGCAATGTTACCTTGATTATCTTGGCATCGTTTTGATGTACGCTTCCTGTTTAAAAATAAAGATTTTACTCAAATAAAATGCATTTTTAAAAAAATGTGCAAATTTTCAAGAAGAATTTGTTTTATTTTGGTTAATGTTAGCAAGAAAATAAAAAAAGTAGCAAAACTGTTGAAGAGTATTTCTATTAATTATCATACATGTATATATTATCTTTTCTGATATACTTTAATTACTTTAATTATACACAATTTAGTTATTCACTCTCCTCATCCGTCAATTTCTGTAAAAACATTGGTCATTTTTTTTCAGTCAAAGTCTGCATTTGTAAACTGGCAGGAAATTAATGTCACAAAAAATAATTAAGTTTGCAAGTAATATTGAGTTGTCAAAACTTTTGATGTTGCATGTGTATTCTCAGCTATGACAATTTATCATACATGTAATATTTGATGAAATTTTCTAAAGAGAAAACTGCTTATATAGATTCTAAGCAAGAAAATGATTCTAAGCAAGAAAATGTTTTAACTTGATAACGCTAAGATTAAATGTAAATGCTGAACCTACCTTAGTTTACAATATAAAAGCATAAAAACTGTAAAAATAACACTGCAGGCAAGAGTCACCGATAAAGCTAACCAAACATTGCCTTTGTTGAAAAAATGTACTCTTGTTGGTGTATCAGCAGAATTATATGTAGTGTTCTCATTATGATCTGTAATCAGGCAGAAAGCATGAAGGATAATCATATAAAATAGAATTCAGTGAAAATCATAAGAACAATTGTGTCTACGGGCTTTTAATCAGACAATACATGATGAAGTAGATAAAAGCATTGATAGCTATTACCGATTTCAAATAGAATGGCGGTATGAAAAAAAAGGTTCTATTAATTCATGAAATTATTACTATTGTTGTTCACTTTTGTGAAGTCATCATGTGCATTCAATATCTGCAATGCTTTAAGAATTTTCTGTGGCCATACACCACAGGGGCATCTTATCCACTCCGTTCTCTACTTCACATATAAAAATACACAAGGGAAGAATCGAGAGTAGCACACGATTTTTTAAAAAAGTCAAAAAACAACTTACTTGAGAAAAGTTACACAAATCCTGAAAGGAACTAGCGCAAATAATGTCCTAGTACTTATCCAGGCTAAAATATTCCAGATATATCCATCGAAAATAGCTTTTATCCAACTAAATCCCCAGCTTTCTGCACAGTGTGAAACTCTTCGCCCAAGAAAAGATAACTCACCCGGATGATAATAGGGTAGTACCTGAAGTCTTCCAATGGCACTCGGAAGGCCTTGTGTAACTTTTCTCAAGTAAGTTGTTTTTTGACTTTTTTAAAAAATCGTGTGCTACTTTCGATTCTTCCCTTGTGTATTTTTATATGTGAAGTAGAGCACAGAGTGGATAAGATGCCCCTGTGCATACACTAAGCATACTAAGGGCTGTGGTCATTAATTTACTGTGTAACTAGTGTTAATTTCCCTCACGCGTAAAAACTATTTTTAGAACATCTTTACTGAATGTTTTAGTAAAAGTATTTATTACTGTTGTCTTTTAATTTAAGGCATCACAAGACTTATGTGTACCATGTGTACATATGCATTATAAAATACCATTTTCCCTGTAATTTTTCTCGATATTATTGATTTACAACCTAAATGCATTCAGATACTTTAACACTTATTTAAAAATCAGCTTTTTATTAATGCGCTTTTGAACTGTTATCAAATTATATAAAATAGCTTTATCCGGTATTATCTCCAAATTAATTTAGAAGCGATCATTAGAGGAGCATTTGGCGTTATAAAAATCATTAAAAGGTCCTTAAATCATTAAAACCATATTTATACAGGAAATACAAGAGAATTAAGCTAAAAACTGGTTTGCATAAATGTCCTTAAGATTTGCGTTTTAAAAGCGTTTCCATATAGTTATTAAAAGCTATTTTTCAGAATCCTATATTACAAAAAGACATTGGATTCTGATTTTAAAAATCTGATTTTTTTTTAACTTTATATGTTTTGTAATCTACACACACGGATTTATAAAAAAAAAATCAGATAGTTTTTACATACAATGTAATCATTTAGGACACATATTATGTACCTATAATCAATGTGTACACATCAATCAGATTCATAATTTGGCTTCATTTTGATGTCATTGGTTTAGAGAGATACATGTACAGTATGTACACAGTGTACATAATGATATATAATTTATAGACATGTAAGATAATGTATACCAATTGTGTGATTGTGTGTATTATTTTAGAATTTTTGAAGCATTATTTATGAAACATGTACAAAAAAGTAGCATTCCTATAAAAATATTGATATTTAATAATTTTTTCTTACCTTCGTTTGGAACACACCCAGTAATGGGGTCACATGGTGTACAGTCATGACATTGTTCTCCACAAAGCTTTCCATAAAAATTTGGAGGGCATGGAGTGCAATTAACACCAAACGTTCCTGGCCAACATTCTTCAAAATAAATTTTATTACATCGATGAACACTTGAACATGTTTAAGTAAATAAGAAAATGTATACTGAAAAGAAAAAGAAACGCATGAGAACATTCTATGCGAAAATTTTCTGACTCTGTGGCCAAAAATTAAAAATATTGGTCAGATGTGTGCACTAAATTAAAATCGCTGGTCAAACTCATGAAATTATGGCGTCACGTAGGGAAAGTAATAAAAAGTCAAAAACACATGCACTTTGAAGGCAATTTTGTGATCACATTTTGTAGCGCCAAGCGATGCATTAGAGTTATAGACATCGTTTTTGCATATTTGCAGTCAGTATATAAATTTCTTGCAATCATGGTATGGCTGACGGAAGTTACATTGGGTCTAGTAATTGAATTGCATAAGTGAATAAAAAGGCAACAACACGTAGCTGAGTCGTTTGTTTTTAACTTTTACACCACAATTTTCTGTTTTCAGAGAGTAACTTAACGAGGCCCGATCTAGTTGAAAATTACGAAAACGGAATGATAAAAAAATTTAATTCTTGGAAATATACTTGTATGTTTTATGCTTAGAAAAATTAGAATGAAATTTTGTTACCTTGCCTTTATTGTAGTGTATTTTTCGTGTTTTTATACACAATTACATACTGTTTTGTTACCTTGCCTTTATTGTAGTGTATTTTTCGTGTTTTTATACACAATTACATACTCAAACTATTCAATAAACAAAGAAATTTACAAATTAAAAAAAATACATGATGAAATTCTTTGTTTTTCACACATATCATGCAATTTTCATTCTTCTTATAAAAAATGAAAAGAAAATTGGAGGTAGCCTTTATTGCAGTGAAAAGGGGGCATGTCAAAACACAAAATTTGGATTTATTCTATCCAACTTCATATTTTATAGGTCGCAATGGGTTTACATAACGCCAACAAAGGATTACAGTAATGTATTAGTTTCTAAAAAAAATAAATAATTCTTGCATTATGAAATAATTTTCTTGCCATGCTTTATTTTTCTCTTAACACGCGACGTTGTTTTACGTGGAAAAAAGGGGTAGAGGGAGGAGGGGGGGGGGGGGTAAGGGCGACAAAATTGCAATTTTTACTAATATCATATAATATATAGAAAAATAAAATATTTCGGCGGTTCAATTTAAATGATTTATAGACTTATTTTACCTTTTTAAAACTGAAGATAATTCATGCATATTTAAGTCCGCAATAAAAAGAGTGTGTATAAACATGTTCAAAGAGAAAGACTAAAATCGTTCACTTTTAGTTGCAATGTTTGTTTTTTAAATTCACAAATTGAAATAAAACAGAATAAAATTAATGAATCTGTACCAAAAAATTATTCCCTCAAAATTAATAAGGTTCCAAAGTTGTTTATTAATTTGAATATTAAAAAAAAAATTAATAGAAATGCCAGCTTTCAATTAGGGAATAACTATCTTCTAATTTGGTGTTTGCAACCGTTAATGCTGATTTAACGGTCGCAAACTGAGTTTTACCGGCGACGCGTAAGCGTCGCCGGTAAAACGGATGTTTGCGACCGTTAAATCAGCATTAACGGTCGCAAATACCAAATTAGAAGATTAGTTATTTCCATTCTAATGCAATCCATGCATTTTGTTTGTTGTTTACGTCTTATTTTGGTGAATTTTGTTACATGAAATGCATCACGGAGCATTGTGTTTTTGCGTCGCTCTATTATGACGTCACAATGAAAAAGCTTTCACGCTCGTTAATGCTCGTTTTACTGCTTCAAACATCAGTGCATTAGCCAATCAAAAAGTGTTTTACAAAACAATTGCATTAGAATACATATTCTATAGAGCTACCAGGTAAGCAAGATCAGCGAAACATTTTAGCGCAATTTGACGTCATTTTAACTGTGACGTTATTGTGTTCAATTGTAACGGCAGCTGTCAAGGGTATTGTGACGTGCCTGAGTCGACGCTGCGTTAAAACGTATGCGCAGATCAAGTAGATCGGGCCTCGTCAAAAGGTTTCCAACAAACCATGACAGTGACGTTGGCACTAACAACGTCTCATCAAGATAGGACTTTTCATCATACCGCCTCGGTTATTGCCAAGGCATTAATTATCACTGAAACCGAAATTTAAACAGCAGACTATCATACCCATATTTTCCACCCTAAATTGACAGAAACTCTCTGCTCTAATTTTGTCCACGAGCTTGTCAACTTTACGTCGATTTTATTCTCACACGCGCACGTACACGTCATATGCGTAATGATTTTAGCGTGTTCACACTGACAAAATGTAGCAAGTATTTTTCGAGACTCTCTTGTTAATATTCAAGAGTATCAAACAAGCTAGATTCTGTAAATCCTATCCTAAATCGAAAATTCGTGGAATTTATTGGGGGGGAATTTGTTGGCTATGAAATGTTATAGCTACTCTCAAGCATAAAGATTACCGTCGGAAGGGTTGAATGATGATCCTATGAGAAAGAAAAAATGCTCTGGTGAACTCAATGCACTGGAAAACCAAGGTTGTTACTGATGTACAAGGGAGATAATGAGAATTTTTATTTCAATTTTTAGGGGTATCGACATATTAATTTAAATAAATTATGAATAATCAGTCAAAGTCACACAAGACTTGGGTAACTTGTTGATTAAGGCTGATTTAAAATGCTTGATAACAATACTGGAAAACATATTCGAAATAATAGTTTTAATTTAATTCAAAAGTTTAATATGCGTTTCTTTTTCCTTTCAGTATATTTACTTATATGTGTCTTGTATTTAGTATTATAAAGTATCATATTTTATTAGTGAGATTTTGCTTGTTAAGAAAGCACACGAATATACCAATTGAAAAGTAACCCTCAACCAAAATGTTATTTTTAATTTCAGTTTCAAGTAGATGTTGTAGATAAATATAAATACCTTCGCAGGCTTCACCAACTTTGCGGTAGTTTTCACAGCATATCAAGTGTTTTCTAGATCCAAGCAAAGCAATTACTGAGTTTAAAATTAATAAATAGCAATGAATAAGCAAAATAGCAATAACCTGAATATTACCCTCCTGACCATTTAACTGTATAATTTCTTCTGTCAACGTTAGCATTATATGAGCAGTTCAAATTGCAGTTTTTCAGGACATACATATTCAATTTTACTACATGTACATATATTCATTCCGAGTTCCTTACCCGTTCTTTGAACAAACTCCTAGAGTATTTGCAAACAGCCCAATCCCATTTGATAACAGAGCAATGATAATGCAGCAATCCAATCAAAATAAATTATTGATAATATTGTAATAACAATTCAAGCTTAGAGTTCCTGAATTGCAAAGAAAAAAATCCAAAATGTTGAAATTTAGGAAATGTCCATTCAATTTCCTTGAACTCCTTTTAAAAACTATTTCATGCACAATATATATATATATATATATATATATATATATATATATATATATATATATATATATATATATATATATATATATATATATATATATATAT